TGCAGTAATAATACTTAATTATTACAAGTTCTTTATGTCGATGAGATATAAGATATTGTAGTAAAAATTATTAATATAATAAATTTTAATAACTTAGTTATTATAAAAAAATGTAATTTTTTTTAGAAAAACATATATTAACCATGATTTTTTTTAGCTCTTGGATACATGATTTTATAGTAGCTAAATATTAAGCGCATATATAACATTCAATGTATATATTACAATTTTTGTTGTAGTGCTTGATAATGTTTGTTAGTAATCATTCTTATAATTTGTTTTATCAAATATAAAATGAAAGTAAAATTTAATGACATTAATACTTTAAGAAAAACTATAATATTATTTTGTTAAAGATAAATAAATCATATGACAACTGTATATTTAAGTTATTAAAATAATTAAATTATATATGTATAAAAGACAATTATAAAATTAAAATAAAAATTTTATTTAGTATCTCAATATCTTTACGATGAACCAACTCAATGAGTTGAAAATATATAACTTGTATAATTTATTAAAAAAATTAAAAAGTCAAAGAGATTATGGCTCCTCTGAGTCTCCCGTCCCCACTCTTGTATGAAATGTTATTAAAAGTAAACTTGTTTAAAGCAACTCTTGTCAGCTTTTCAAACTTATATTTTAAATATTGGATGTGCACTCACTCCCAAGCCCTCACGCCAAAATGGTCTCGAGGCTCTTGAACAGTGGCAAATCATGGAGCAATGAGACTGTGACGGCCAAAAAAAAAAGAAAAGAAAAGAAAAGAAAGAAAGAAAAAGAACGCACCTTAGGCTTAGCAGCGAGACTATTATTTTAAAAAAATTACACTTAAATTTCACAAAAAAAATTAATTATTAAAAAATTTCATAAAATATATAAAATATTTTTAAATTTTAAATTCTGTATATTTATAACTTAGCAAAGAATATTTATGATTAAATAATAAATATTTACAACTTATTATTATAAATTGTCATTTTTTTACAAGTTATGAATTTAAATTGCCTAGTTGTAAATCTCTTTTTTAAATTATAAATGCATAAGATTTAAAATTTAAAAATATTTTATATATTTTTATATAATCTCGTGGTAATTAAATATCTTTTGTGGATCTAGGTATAATTTACTCTGTTATTTTGTTGGCTGACGGTATTATAAGCATTATTAGTTTATAATAAAATGGAAAGAAAATAAATGGGACCAGTAATCATCATTTCATACAATTAACATGTCCTTATATTTTTATTATCATTTAACATCATATTTTATGTTATTTAAATTCTTTTTCACATTTTTAAACATTTATAATAAATTTTATTTATATAATAAAAATTATAAATGATTATAAATCAATGTCATTTTTTTATAATTATACATTTGAAAACATACTTCACCGTACTAATTCAAATAACTTTTAATTTATTAAATTAATTATTAAAAATATATTTAAATATAAATTTTATTGTAACAATCAATTTTTACTAAACCAATTTTTATTAAATTTTTAATGCTTCTTGGCTGGCCATGTTGGACTTTATACCCAATGCTTCATGTGTCCGCATTTTGTGCTTATCACACCATGCTTGTTGTCTCAATAACTCATTTGAACTTTTAATCTCTATAGTCTATTTTATTTTATTTTATATTTTTAATATTATATTATTAAAATAAAAAATAATAAAAATATGAAAATCTTAATACTAAATATGGTTTGTCTTCTGGGCTCAGCAAGAGATTAGTATTATGTTATTCATTTTTAGCTGATGAAATCTAAATTTTGTGAATTTAAAATTTTTTATTTTTATTTTATACTTATCAAAATAAAATTATAAAAGTTTTTAATAAATTTATTTATATTCAATTAGGAAACTGTAGATTTAATATAGACTATTTAATTTAATATTAAATTTTTATACTTTTATAAATTGACTGTTCAGATATTATTTGGATAAGAAAGATATAACCTAAACAGTCTAATTTAATATTAAATATTTTTATAAACTAACTATTTAAATGTATTATAAGAATGTACGGCTTTAACATTAACATTCTTTTTTTATATATATTTTTATCTTAACAATACATTATTAAAAGTGTTGAATAATAAATTTAAAACGAGTGACATAGATTAATTGAGAATAAAGTCACGAGCTCAAATGATTCCCTAAAGTGATGAGCATGGAGTGTACTCACGATGCTTCATATATAGAAGAAAGAGAGCCAAATAATTATAATGGGGAAAAATGACAAGTAAATCACCTCGAATTATATAACTAATAATTTAATTTTTTAAATTATAATTTTATTAAATTTTTTCTGTATTAATAAATTTTAAAGTAAAAAATTAATTTTACTTTTATTAAAAATCACAAGCCTTTATCATAATTTTTGCTAAATGAATAAAATTTTTTATTCTTATAAATTGCAAGAATTAAATAAAAAATAATAATTTTTAAGTTTAATTTATGATTTTAAAAAACAAGTTATTCAAATAATAAGTTTCAATCATAGCTTTTATTTTAAAAAAATAAATTTTATATTATGAATCGTAAGAGTTAAACAAAAAATTACAGCTTATCAAATATAGTTTTTACTATTGAAAAATAAGTTATTAAAATAATAAACCTTAATCACAATTTTCATTCAAAAAATAACAATTTGTATTCAAATAACTGTAAGGATCAAACAATTATCATAACTTGTGAATTAGGATAAAATAATTTTTTTAATTTAAAATTTATTGACATAAAAGTCTTTAATAATTTCAATAAAATTATGACATTTTAAAAAAATTAAATTATTATTTATATAATTTGAGGGTACTTTATTATTTTTTTTTATTATAATATCACGGGGCAAGTGGCATTTTTTCCGGGACACAAATATTTCCCAAGGATGTCGTGGGATGATTAGTGTGGACAGCTTCTCCTGTTGAAGATGAATTGAAGTGTCGCTTCTGAGCTACTACTCTTTTGTCGATTATAAGAAAAGTTATCATGCTTCTCTCAGTTGCAAGATTACAAATTTTAAAAAGCATTTATTATATTTTTTTAAAATTGTCACTCATAAAATCAATACTTGTTTTCACTAGACACATTTATTTAATTAATTACAGGGACAATTTGGTTCAAAAATTTTAAATTTATAGACATAATTATTATACTTAATCAACTTTATTAAATTGTGTGAGTTGGTTATTTTTTCTTATATTTAGAAAAGGAGGAAGGCAAATCCAGGATTTAACTAAGAGATATAAAATTGAAAAAACATACTTACTCTATTTTTTTAACATAAGACAAACAATCATGTATGTTTTTACTCACAAGCAAAGCTATAAATTTCAAAAAACATTTACCACATATTTTTAAAATTGTCCCTCATCAAGTCAGTGTATAATTTTGCTAGACAAAATTGTTTTATTAAGTCCAAATATTTTACTTTTAAGCATAATTATTATACTTACCTAAATTTTTAAAATTATATGAATGAATTGTTTTTTTATATTTAAAACTGGAGGGAGGGAGTATATATTAAAAATTTTTTGTAAAGCTTAAAAAGCTCAAAAGTATTATAGTACTATACAATACCAGGATAATTAAAAAATTGGGACGAAGCCTGCTGGTCCCCCTCCCCAGCCCCTGGCTGACTATAACAGGGTGCTTCTTAGGGAGATTCTTAATCCCGAGTGTGTTCGTTTGTCATTGTCTGCATGGAATTAATAGACAGGGGAAAAGTGATAATATTAATTTGTTACAGTTGGGTTCGAACTGTCAGTGGAGTTAAGCGCGTTTACTTATTATAGTATATATATGCTCCTACCGACGGGTCTTTTTTAGTAGTCGTTTCATTTAATAAATTTACGAGGCTTTTGCTACTTATTATTCCTACTAGGTAAAAAAAAAAAATCAGTTTAAAAATCTGCAGGATAAATTATTATTAATATTCAAAAGTATTAAAAAAATTTATGTAAAGTTATTATTGAAATACTCCCTCTAATATTATATACTCCCTATGTTTAAAAATATAAGAGATTTTTAATCCTTCGATGTGTAATTATTATCTTTTTTTTAAAAGCGTTCCTATTAGTAATGACTTTATAGTTATTGCAGGGTGTTTAATAGGTGTAAATATAAAAAAATGGGGTTAGTTGAAAAGTAAGTAACTATTTTATTGGGAGTGAAATTCGATTAAAAATGTCTTATATTTTTTAATAGAGGGAGTATAAAATATTTTTAATCAAATTTCACATATCAATAAAAATTTATTATTTAGTTAAAATCATGTTAAATGATAATAATAATTTTTTAATTTTATCTTTAATAATATCAATTAATATCATGATGGTAATAGATAAATTACACAATTAATATCTTTTTTTCATAAAATAAAAAATAAAATTATTTAATTATTTGAAAATATAATGACTAGAAACAAGGAAGGAGCATGTTTAAAGTGTCAGGGTAATTTATCAATGGACTTTATCATGGATTTAAGGGTTAATATATAATTTAAATTTTTAACTATAGACTTAAGGGCGATTTAAACTCTAAACTTTTAAAAATTATATTTTAAATCATAAATAATTAAAATTAAGGCAATTTCATCTTACCATTAAATTTCAATGAACATCCATCAAAATGAAGCCTAGTTTGTGTTATTCATCAAATGAGGGTAAGAAAGTGGTGTGAAATTTGATAAAAATTATACATTAAGCCTCAATTTTTTAAAAGCTAATAAATATTTGTTAAAATTTAATCATAAAATAAAATTATCTTAATTTTAATTATTTAGAGTTTAAAATATATTTTTAAAAATTTAAAATTTAAAATATCTTTAAATTAATAATTCAAAATTTAAATTACATATTAATTCTATATTTAAAAGCAAATTCGTTTCACGAGCTTTGTCCCCCGCCCCGGGCTCTTCTCTTTTTTCCAAAACAATATATTTTTGGGCATCTGAGCAGTGCTATTTTCCCGATCGGATCAGTACAAAATTTCATGGTGCTCGTCGAGACCGTGCGCTCTCTCTCTCCATTTTTCTTTGCAGAGCAGAAAGCATCAGACGGTGCGAGGGTGAGTGGGGAGAGGAAGAGAGTGGTCGGGAGGGAGGGATATTCAAACCAAACCAAGCGAAGGAACGCTGAGACGTTTTATAATTCGTAGCGTGGTCGTGCTCCAGCGAGCATTGCCAATTCACTCGTTAATTTCTGCTAATTTTTCGGCATTAGTTTCAGTCTTCTGCTTCTTCAAGGAGGAGGAGGTACTGGTCCTTGCTTGTTCCGCTGCTTCGTCTCTGCTTGTCTCCTGTTTCACTGGATTTGATCTGATGTCTTCAAATAATGCTTTGCTATATTGTGTCAGCTGGCGGATTGATCTAAATGCTGTTTCTTTTTCCTTTTCGGTTTTCTTAACATTTTAGTTTTCAATGGAACGCGCTTTTTAATTCTCAAGTCAGAAATTTTACTGCCCTGCCGCCCACCAATCAATCTACTTAACTTCATATTATCCATTTCAAGATTGGGATTGAGATGGATCTGATACGCTGAATAAATGCTCTAAGTTTTCATCATTCTCATGTAGTTGGTGCTATGGCAGAACCATCGCTTTGCCTCTTCTTTGTCTTTAAACTTCTCTTCACTCATACTTTACCGGGTATCTTTATTTGTGTAGGTTTCCAATTGCTTAACTGGAGGAGGTGTCTCCCAGTGAATTATCCCCTCAAATCCGGATGACGCTAAAATAACAAACCTTTATTGGTTTCTCAGTATATTCATAAACTACTCTCAGTTACGCATCAACTTCTTCGTGCAAGTATAACATTCCAGGCCGGAGAATGTCCAGGCCTCTGCATCGAGGTGTATCTGGTGTTCGGATCTCTTACAGCAGTCATGAGTTGCGGGATTCTCAGTCCAAAGATAAAGCAGAAAAGGAAGATTTGGATAGAAGAGCTTCATCAGATCACAGCCCTTTAGCCCTGAGGTTTCCTTTACGATTATTTTTGGTAGATAATTCTCAATCAAAATATGGTAACTCCGAGAATGGTTTCACCGATAGCTTCATTGCTGGCACTCCAAGGAGTCGACATAATTTGATAATGCTTCTCTTGAAATCAAGCCTACTATTTATTGTTGTTCTTGCTCTTACTGGATCTTTTTGGTGGACGATCTTGATTTCAAGCTCATCAAGAGGTCACATATACCATGGTTATAGAAGACTCCAAGAGAAACTTGTGGCAGACCTTTTGGATATTGGGGGGTTTTCCAGCGGCACCTCGAGACTGAAAGAAATGGAATTTTGCTCTCAAGAATTTGAAAACCATGTTCCTTGCTTTAATGTTTCTAAGAATCTAGCTTTCAGTTATTCTGATGGCAATGAGCTTGATAGGCAATGCGATCATGAGCTCAGGCAAAACTGTTTAATACTTCCTCCTGTGAAGTACAAAATTCCTCTTCGGTGGCCAACTGGAAGAGATGTTATCTGGGTTGCAAATGTCAAAATCACAGCCCAGGAGGTTCTTTCTTCTGGAAGCTTGACCAAGAGGTAATTTTGATACATCTCATTAATAGCTTTACTTTCAGTCATCTTTTTATCCTAATGTTGCCTTTTCTTTCACATGGTTCTAGAATGATAATACTGGATGAGGAACAAATTTCCTTTCGTTCAGCCTCCCTTATGTTTGATGGTGTTGAAGACTATTCACATCAGATTGCAGAAATGATTGGACTTAGAAATGAGTCTAACTTCCTACAAGCAGGGGTAAATAGATATATAATGTATTGTCTACTAAAAATGGCATATAATTTTTGTTTTTGCCTCATTTCTTTTGGTCTCCTAATCTGTTATGCTTATATTTTACAAATTTACTGCATGTTACTTACTTCTATTTTCTTTGTCGAAGTATGCGGGTGAGTTTAAGCTTTCCTTATTTGGTATAGGTTTCACAAAAATAAATATTAATCATCTAATTGGTGATTTCAGCAAATTATATATGAAGGGTACCGAATGATTACAAGCATGTATTGGCTTGTATACCTATAATATAAACCATTCCAAACTTGTGGATTGTTTCAACATGGTGGATACATTTCAAAGCTGCAAATGGTATATTAGTTTTTTGACACGATTGGGCTTTTTAGAATCTGTTGGTATGTTGTACCCAAGTTTTTTGACTGTCGAAAATCTAATTGGTAATTCTTTTGTGCATAAAATTTCATGTAGCTTCAATTTGCATGGATTCGTAATGTATTTCGTAATAGGCAGCTCTGAAGCTTAACTGAGTCTTTACAGTTCAACTTTAATGGAACATCGCATCCTGAAATTCACAGGTTCGAACCATACTGGACATTGGTTGTGGCTATGGGAGCTTTGGAGCACACCTCTTTAACAGTAATCTGTTGACTATGTGCATTGCTGACTATGAGCCTTCTGGTAGCCAAGTTCAGCTCACGCTTGAGAGGGGTCTGCCAGCTATGATTGCTTCTTTCACTTCAAAACAGTTGCCATATCCATCTCTCTCATTTGATATGTTGCATTGTGCAAGATGTGGGATTGATTGGGACCAGAAAGGTACCTTTCAAAATTCAATCTCATGCTACAATTTGTAGAATTAGCATGTGTGGATTGTATTTTGCATTTATTCAGAAAAAACTCATACTCAGTCTGGTCTCTATTATAAATTACTTTTATTTAGGGGCGTAGAAACCTTCTAGAATGTGCCAGTGCCTATATGGCATAGTGGCATTAGGCCTTCCCCACATAAAAGGGGAGGTTACCTATTCAAACTCAAGCAGTGCAACGGTGTGCGTGTGAGTCTCCCTTCTCTACAGAGAGGGTCTAGGATAGGTGTATTCAAAAATTAGTTGTACTGAAATATTAATTATTGCAAACGCCAATTCTAAGTATTATTTTATTTTATGTTTTTTGAGGATACTTTTCCGTATTTGATAATCATTTACCTTATATGCTGAATTCAGGGCTGTTTATCTCTCTGATCGTGCTGTTGTATTTTTTTAATGGTTGAGCACTTGAGCTTAGACCTTTAAACTGTCTACTTGAAAAAGTATTGACTGTTGCTTATCTCTCTGGTTGTACTGTCTTTTTTCCAATGCCAGGACCTTTCTGAGTTTAATTGGAAGTGTCATTCAACCCATTTACCTCACTTTTGGGCCAATAAAGGCTATATCATTTGTAGATTACTTCCTTTATCAGGGATGCTTATTTATTATTCAGTGACATCATGAATCCCTCATTTGTTTCTGATGTAACCTACATCCCCAAATAAAGAATTAAAAAAACAATATGATGTATACCTTTGAGAAAATCTCCAAATTTAGTACTTAATTACAGGAAGTTTCCCAAAGTTAAACACATTAATTTTTTTTCCCCTCTTTACAGCAGACTTTGAATTTCAAGGAGCTTGGCAATGCTGTTGCTACCAGTGACAAGCTAAACAATGAAAATTTTTAGTTTCTATTTTCCTCTCCGTGTCCTGAGTAGCCAGTTCATTTTGTTAAAATTACTGAGGTTAACATGGTTTATTACATCTTCCAAACCGTTTTTAACTTTTTGATGTCTTCCTTTGAGATATGTGTGAAGGCTACTTTCTAACATCCTTTAATTGGTATCCTTGTTCCTTATAATTTCTAACGTGCTTGATGGACTTCAATCAGTATTTTTAATCCTACATTCTTATTACTTTTTCATAGATGGCATTCTCTTGATTGAAGCTGATAGACTTCTAAAGCCGGGTGGCTACTTTGTCTGGACATCGCCACTTTCAAATGCTCATAGCAAAGAGAATCAGAAGCGGTGGAAGTTTGTCCATGATTTCACAGAAAATATTTGCTGGGAAATGTTGTCTCAACAAGATGATACTGTCATATGGAAGAAAACTAGTAAAAGGAATTGCCACAATTCAAGGTAAAGCTGTTGTGAACTTGTGACATGTTGGTGAAAATTACTTTCACATTGTACATTTTTGGGAGACAGATTTCTAAAAATTGGAATCTGTACCAGTAATGCAATCATGGTGCATTAAGAATTAAGAAGTGGCTCGGGTTCTTAATCTTCGCATCACTTTTCTGGTGCTTTCAGAAGTTCTGGTGCTGGCCCTCCTTTGTGTGGTAAGGGTTACGATGTGGAGTCTCCACATTATCGAGAACTGCAAAACTGCATCGGAGGAACACATAGCAGTCGTTGGATTTCTATTGATGAGAGGGCAACCTGGCCTTCTCGGGCTAACTTGAACAATAATGAGCTTGTTACCTATGGTAATTACTATGTACTAATGTTTTTCAAAAGCTATAGATCTTTGATGGAGGGATTTGCTTTTATCTGTTTCACTGAATTGAATTTCCTGGCCACTTGTTATCTTATCAAGCTTATATTTATGTGTTAGGGCTGCATCCTGAAGAATTTGCTGAGGAATCTGAAAGCTGGAAAACATTAGTCCGTAATTATTGGTCTCTCCTTTCGCCTTTAATATTCTCTGATCATCCAAAGAGGCCAGGTGAAGAGGATCCTTCACCACCTTACAACATGCTCAGAAATGTATTAGACATGAATGCTCGTTTTGGTGGTTTTAATTCAGCACTGCTGCAAGCTGGAAAGTCTGTATGGGTCATGAATGTGGTCCCAACCAGTGGACCAAACTACCTTCCCTTGATCCAGGACAGGGGTTTTGTTGGTGTTTTGCATGATTGGTATTCTGTTCTCCTTTGTAAATCTTGTATTATGTAATGTTATGGTCCACAGTTTCCATCAATAAATTTCTTGCGGTTAAATATGAATTTATTGCCCCAAATCCATTACTTTATTTTTCAGTTACTATTATCATTATGTCGTGTCCATTTTTATCTTCTTACAATTATGTTCCATTTTGGCTTCTAGGTGTGAGGCTTTTCCAACATATCCTAGAACCTATGACTTGGTGCATGCAGCAGGGCTTCTGTCACTTCAAAATTCTCATCTGGGTAGATGCAACATGCTTGATCTGTTCACTGAAACTGATAGGTTACTCCGTCCAGAGGTATGTAAATTGAATACTCTGAGCTTTTCCTTTCTATCCAAATTGAGTACTCTGTCCAGAGGAATTACAATGCTTCGGATTTTCTTTCTTTATCTATGTAGCACAAAATTTACCCTACACTAGTGTTGGTATTTAATATTTGCCTTGTGGTAAGCACTTAAATTGTGTTTTTTTCTTGAAAAACTGGTACTTGCCTCAAGCCCATAATGAAAGCAGTCCCCTGAATTTCACTGTCCACCTCCTAGTGGAACTTAGGGTAGTAATGTAATCTGTAATGTTCCTTTTATTGGTAACTAAGCATAATGGCCTGGATTTGAGCAGAAAATCTTGTATTATTTCTAGCTGCTGCATATTTACTATATGGTAGAGCACACACTGTTGTAAGTCTGGATTCACCTCCATTAGCATAATTCTTTGTTTTTTGAATCAGACTTGTTCAGCTTCCACTTCGTCCTGATTAACTAATGCTGGTTAAGATTTTCCTTTTTCCTATGCATTGGTACTATTTCTGAAATTAGAGTGGACTTGTACATCTGTAGGGAGCTCAAAAAGAGCTACGTTGTTTGAGCTCCATTGTTCATGGATGATGGAAAGTGCAGCAGCTTTCTACAATTTTTACGGAAATCTAATGATTATTGTTGACGGTCCACTATAGGGCTATCAGCATGGTTCTGATTGTTTGTATTAACTTGTGACACTGGAAATGCACTAATCTGTGAGTAGCATAACAAATTGGATAGGACACTTTTATCATTAATCAATTTAATGATTTAGTCTCCTTTGATATCCTTAGCAGTTTGTTTTCCAAACTATTAAGATTACGTTAGATATGTAATTGCTCATCAAGCAGTCCACTAAAGTATCCTTTAATGCCTTTTCGAATAGAATCATGTTATACATTGGCGGCCAGCCGTTCAGTGTTGTCTGAGTTGCTGAATTTGATTTGTATTCACATGCTGAAAATCTGCTAATTGCCTATTTGTTTAAGTTGCCTCGGTGAAGCCTTTTTTAATTTGCTGACTTGATTGTGTGTGCAGGGTTGGATTATAATTCGGGACACAGTTCCTTTGATAGAGTCAGCGAGAGCTCTAGCGACACGGCTGAAGTGGGATGCCCGAGTTGTTGAACTTGAGAGTGACCACGATCATAGACTCCTAATCTGTCAGAAACCTTTTTTTAAGAGACAGTCAAGCTAATTAATTGATTCTATTCGTATTCATTTCCATCATGTTCAGTTATTGTCATAAAGCTCCGCCACAAAAAGTGGGGGGTTGAAAATTTTGAACAGAAAGTAGTAGAACAGGATAGAGGAAAAGTGGATCTTGGTCAATTATACAATCACAAGTCCAATGCCGCCCTAAAATTTGGTTAGGGCCATGTAATTACCAAGCAAGGTCCCAGAGGAGATGAGGAAGTATACTGGTATCTCTATTTTTTCAAGTGATGTCTGATTACAGTTCACACAGCCACATCATTAAGATTGTGAATGTGATAGAATAAGTTATTGATGTTTGTTGTAGTGTATAAAATGCTGAGCCAATCAATTCCCGCTATGTGATTTGAGTTGTCTTTCCTGCTCTTATCTTACAGGCTTTTTGCTGTCTCATGTAAAAGCTAGACAAAGCTGTACTTGATATTTTTTTGTCAGTGTTAATAAATTATAATGCAAAATTATAGTATTTCACTGCAATTCTGCAATGCTTCACCGGCTGGAGATATTCACGCTGAAAATTGGATTCAACAACTGCTCTAAAATGGAGCGAGTTGTATTTTTTACTCATTTATATAATGCTAGTGTGGCATTTTACGTCAATTACAGGTTGACTGAGTTTCATTTTGAGCAACATTTATGTTTATCGTTCGTCTAATTCGCAAATAAGGGTTATGTATGATTAGCGAAGGGGTTGAATGATTTTTGATGTTTAAAATTGAAGTCTTGCTGTACAAGAAGAATGTTGTAGTAGCTCTCCATTCATGCTTTAAAAGCATAGTAGCTTTATCTTTATGCGGGGAAAAGTTAAATTGCAGGAAGACGATGGAAGCTGGATACCTTGCAATCACCATTTTAAGCATAGGGAGTGTATAAAAATTAAATATATTAATAATGATAAATATGGCTGCGAGAATCAAACATCTTAATTCTAAAAAAAAACAACATCCAAAATTTCAATTCTTCTAAACAGTTAAATTTTTTTAAGCGTAATTTTTTCCTGATAATTAAGATTTATTAATTCATGTTTTCAGAAAATTATTTGAAATTGTAAATCATTTATTTTAATTCAATAATTCATTTTGTTTGAATTTTGTAGAAAAGCAAAATTATTTTGAGGGGTAGCAAGTAACCTCTCTACTATGAGGATGAAGGAAACGTGAAACCTCTCCCAGGTAGTCAGAGCAAAAGCGAAGAAAATACCTTTTCAAGACAAGTATACTCTCACTAAAAGCATTGTCCAAAATAAAAGATCCGCTCAAAACACGATTAATCGAGTATGCTTATTGGCCCAAATTTTTTTTCCGAATATGCTTTATTCATTTTCCTTCAAAAAAATAAAAAAACGCTATCCTTTACGATTTAACTCTGGAACTGCAAAGATTAATTTCAGAAACTCACTGAATGCAATGATATATTAATAAAACGATTATCAGATGATTATAGCAGAACCCGCATTTGATTGAGGCCAAGGATGAAGATGAAGCAAGACTGACCCGATTCCAAAAGATTCACAATCTGACTGCCTCCGCATGGATCTGTGCATAGAGGAAAACATTCCTCTTATATATAATTAAATAATTTTTGGCATCACCACTCAACAATCCGACCTTAGCTCAGTTGGCAGAGCGGAGGACTGTAGTAGGTGAAGCGCCGTATTGGCATCCTTAGGTCGCCGGTTCGAATCCGGCAGGTCGGATATGTGTTTTGCAATATCTAAGTTGTGTGTTTTGTTGAAAGATCCCTTGTACAAAAGCAGTCATCAATCAATTAGGATCAAACTTGTGAGGCCAGCCTTTTTAAGTTTGCATATAGTTAGGGCTGCGTGTTTTTTTTTTTTTTGTGGATAATGAGGATTTTAATTTACTGTGCTGCTATTTTTATTAGATTTAAATTTGTTATGATGTGGATTGACTTAAATTTATTTTTTTACTTAATCTTATGTGTAATAGCAATTTTTGAAGTTATAAATATATTTTTAAAATTTTTAAATTAAAAAAATAGAGTCAAGACTCACAGGGTTGGCCCTTCATCCTTGAGAGCTAAGATCGGATTTTGCAAAATACAACTTTAAAATATAATTGGGCTTAACAAAATTGGCCCATTTAAACTTGGCCCTTCAAGAGCCCACCCTCAAGTTCTAATTGACAGTTTTATCATCATGTGGGCTTGCTATTATAACTTCAGTAAACAACATTCCCACCTTGTGTATATTAACTTGCCACAACAAATAAATTTTTCCATGAACAAAGACTTAGTATTTGCCACAGTGCTGTTTTCTTACACATTATTACCAGTCACAGCCTAGAAAACATTATTAGAGGGGATAAAATTTATATTAATTAAAAATATAAATATTTTTTAAAAAAAGATAATTATAGACAATTAAAATAAAATATAAATAAATTATATAAGAAGTTTAAAAATATACGAATGTCATTTGTATCATAAATTTATTTTTATGATAAATATAAGAGTAAACAATGTTTTTAAATGGGTACACTTGATAATTTTAAAGAGAGTGAGATAATTAATTTTTTTGGGTGACAATTGTAATCTTAAAGAGGGAAAATATATCAATTAAAGTTGTATTTCACATTGTTAAACTTATCTATTTAGATATTTGTTCATTTTGACAAAAATCTATATAATTGAGTTTTAAAAGAGAGGCTTTTCGCATGCTCGTATCATTTTATTCTTACAACAAAATGACAAAATCAAGTGTCTTGAGGAAATTGACAACATAATTTCTGGTGAGATACCAAATAAGGATTCCTCTCCTTTGCTCTATGAATTAGTTAAAACATACATGATGCATGGACCATGTGGTTATAGCAATAACTAGTCACCCTGCATGAAGGATGAAAAATGTAGCAAATACTTTCTAAAAAAAATTAATGACAAAGCAATAGTCAATGAAGACGGGTACCCTGTGTATAGAAGAAGAGATGATAGTAGAACCATATGCATTGAAAAAATGGTGTCCTTTTAGATAATCATTTTGTTATGCCATACAATTCTTATCTTCTTTGCAAGTTCCAGGCTCACATCGATATTGAAAAAACAAATCAATCTACTTCTATCAAATATTTGTTCAAGTATATAAAGAAAGGAAGTGATAGAGTTATTGTTTCACTTGATTCAAGTTCCGGTGAAGGAGGCCAATCCTTCATTGATAGGATCAAGCAATACTATGATTGTAGATATGTCTCCTCCTGTGAAGGGTCTTGGCGCATATTTGAACTTGATATCCACCATTGGTGCCTATTTGTCAAGGGGTTAAGTTTCCACCTTTCTAATGAGCAATACATTGTCTACTCTAATGATCAAGACATTTCTTTATTATTTAATAGACTAAGGGTATGTGAGTTTATGTTTTTTACTTGGATGAAACGTAATTATGATGAGAAAGATAAATTTGCAAGAACACTCACGTATGGTGAATTCCTTCAATATTATGTATGACAATGGAATAATAGATTGTGGAAAAAAAGGGAGAAGGGTTTTGCAGTCAATCAAATAAGTCATGCATTACCAGCTTCTCAAGAAGATACTACTTTAAGATTTTGTTGACTAAGGTCAGGGGATCTCGTTCATATGATGAGATCAAAACTGTTAATAATGTTATGTACCCTGCTTTTAGACAAGCATGTTACACACATGGACTTCTACATGATGATAAGCAATATAAAGATGCAATTAAAGAAGCATCTATTCAGGCAACAAGTACAATGTTGAAAAAAATGTTTGTTAGTATGCTGCTTTGTTGTTGCCTTAGTTGGCCTGAGATTGTGTGGTAAGAGAGTTTAAATGTACTTTTAAAGGATTTTTTTTACATACCACATAGAAATGAAACATATTCAAGTAAGTATTAGTTTGAATTGTTTGATTGTATTTAATTGATTGTTATATCATACATATTTTAGTAACTACTATTTTTATTATTATTTTAATATAGATTTGCAAATTTCGTAAGAAGAAAAAGAAGAAGCTGCCTTCAAAAAGATTGAATCACTTTTACAAAGTACTGGAAAAAGCCTTTCTTACTATCTTTCTCTCCCTAAGCCTAAGAGTTCCTTAATTATAGATATTGCAAATCATTTAAGTTGCTTTATAAGCTCAATTTGCAAGGATAATACAATCATTAACCAAGGAACAAAGAGAGATCTTCTAAAGCATCATTGCCTCTACATCTTCACATATTAGTAACTTTTTCTTTGTATATGGCTATGAAGGCACTGGTAAAACATTTTTATGGAATGCTCTAACTACTACTTTGCATTTTAAAGGGAAGATAGTTCTAGTCGTTGCATTGAGTGCAATTACAGCTACTTTGTCACCACTAAGGAGAATTGCACACTTAAGATTTTCTATCCCAATTGACATAATTGAAGATTCAGTTTGTAACATTAGCCAAAGGCCCCCATTATCACACTTGTTGCAATAAACAGAATTAATCATTTGGGATGAAGCTTTAATGATATGTCGCCACTGCATAGAAGCATTTGATCACTCATTCAAAGATATCATGTATTGTGATCTGCCATTTGAGGGTAAGTCTATAGTTATGGGAGGTGATTTTCGTCAAATTCTTCTCGTAGTTTCGAAAGGCAGTAGGACAAATATAGTCAATGCATCAATTAGTTCTTCATACTTATGGAGTCATTGCAAGATATACAAGCTGACAAAGAACATGTAGCTAAACTCATCTTCATCCTCCTCTAATAGTGAAAAAGTAAAGAAATTCTCACAATAGCTATAAGAAGTGAGAGATGGCAAAGTTCGAGAATCAGATGATGGCATTACAAATATTGAAATTCCCTTAGAGTTATTGATTACTTTATATAAGTATCCTTTGGTTGCGATTGTCTCATCTACATATCCAAACTTATTGGATAATTTATCCAACATGGCATAATTTAATGATAGGGCTATCCTTATACCAACTATTAAGTGTGTTAACTAGATAAATGATTTCATACGTGGAATCTTACCTTGGAAACTGGTAGAATATTTCAATTATGACTATGTTTGCATATCATCACAGGACAGTGACTTATTTTAAAGATCTTTATACAACTAAGTTTCTCAACATGATTAATAGTTTTGGTTACCTTTGTATAAACTTAAACTAAAGATTGGTGTACCTATAATGCTTTTCAAGAACGTTGATCAAGCTTTAGGATTATGTAACAGTATAAGATTGCATATCATGCAGCTTTAAAAATGTGTGATCAAAGCAACAACACTAAATGGTTCTTGCCCGAATCAAAAGGTTCTCATACATAGAATGAATATAAATCCTTCAGAAAGTAGATGATCTTTTCGCATGCAGAGAAGACAATTCCCAATCATTCTTTCTTTTGCAATAATAACAAACAAAAGTCAAGGCTAGTAATTGTACAACATTGGTCTTTATCCGCTAAGGCCAATTCTTACACATGGCCAATTTTATATTGCAATTTCTAGAGTCAGAAGCATGGATGAGTTAAGAACACTGATTCATGACATTGATAAACAACCCAAGACAACCACTATTAATGTGGTTTTCCATGATATCTTCCAAAACCTCCAAGCTACAAGTGTGTGATTTTTTTTATGAGATTTGTTTTTGAATTGACTATTTATTGAAGAATGACATTATTGTTAATCATTTTTTGCAAATACAATAATTTTTGTTAAGCAATACTTCATTTCCTTCCTAACCACATGCCACATATTATGGTTATAATCTTCTAAACTAAACTATCATTAATTAAATTTGCTTCTTTTAAATTGACTAACCCGTGCAACACACAAGGTTGTGGTTACTTTCAATAAATAACATTCCCAACCCACGTATATTAACCTACCACAACAAATAAATTTTCCCATGAACAGAGACTCAATATATACCGTAGTGCTATTTTCTTAGGTTACATTTTAAGTTATTGTGAGAATTTGATGCATAGCTGAATGGAGCCTAGAGCCTCCATATAACTTGACATTTTTTTCCCAAACTTGAATTCTTTCCATGGTTCTTCCTCTCTAATTTTCCCCCACTTCTCATCTCAATTATTAGATTGAAATTTAAGTAGTCTAGATTTCAAATTTTATAAAATAAGTTTTTATTACTTTTGTGTTGCAATTATAAATTGTCTTGACCAAATTTTAGCAATTTGAATTTATTTAGTTTTTAATAATTTAATAGTTTATTAACAATTTTATAAAATATTAATTTTAAACTATTCAAATTATAATCTGACAGCTGAAATGGGAAATGACGAGAAAGTGGAGGAAAAAGAAAAGGAAGAGAATCCGGATGTGCTAAAATTCATAACTCCTCCAAAAATAGCTAAGGTACCTCGTCACAAAGGGTTTATTAAATAAATAACTGCAGAACAGAGAAATTGACATGGTCAATCATTGTCTGGCACTGTTAAAATTGTTTAATATATAACGCAAAGTTGGTAGATTGTGCGAAGAGCCCAGATGAAATTCCGGGGAAAAAAAAAAATTCCACCAATGAAAGCTGGAGACTTCAAACTTCAAAGGCCACTTCACATCAAATTATCAACAAGGAGACTTTCAACGCCCACTTAGATAGCAAGTATCCTATCTGGGGAAAAAAAAAAACTTACAGACCCAATCCCAGAAGTTTTAATTAAACATGGTAGATTGTTGCGGCTCCACTTCATGGTCAAGTCCAGTAAACATTACAAACAACCAAGATAAGAATTTTTTATTCTAACGAGTTGTTCCTTTGGCGGGCACCTGATTACTGGGAGTTCGGCTCCTTGACCTGTTCTTACTTCTATGAACAACACTCGCACTGCTTCTGGAGGAGGAAAGCGATCCTTGCCCACCTCTCTTGAGTGCTCTTCTGTGAGAGCTTCTACTGCTGTTCGCAAGTGCAGCTTTGGCCACACTGTCTATGAGTATTTCTCGTGCCCTCTGAGGTTTGATGGATTGCTTGTTCAGGTAAACTAGCTTTGGAAGAAGACCACACACTGCTTTCCTCAGCTGCTCCTCGCTAATATTGCTCTGAATTGGATTTCCTAGAAGATTCAGAGCCTGCAGTGAGTTGAAGTTAGCCACAAGCTGGCCTAACGATTTTGTTGTTGTGATCTTGTTGAAGCTCAGGTCCAAAACAGTTAATTTTAGCAGCCTGTGAAGACCCTCAGAATCGCTTATCTTGTTCCCCGCAAGGTATAACTCTTTGATGAGTGTACAGTTCGACAACCCTGGTAATGTACAGGTGAATCAGTTGTAAGGTTAAATAAAATGAGAAACCCGTCTCCATCGAGTATAAACCTCAACAGGAAAAGGAACTAACCCTGTCCAATTCTTGAGATGCGATTGTAACTGAGGTCAAGCACCCGCAAACGTGTTAATTCTCTGAGTCCCTCAATGGTACTAATCTTGTTTCTTGACAAGTTGAGAGTGTGAAGACCCTTTGGAAGCAATCCTGGCGTGATGTGAACTGCAAATAGATGAATTAGACCAAGTCAATAAGTTAAGCAGCTACATATTGCTGTCACTTGAAAAGTTATTTTCCGTTGCTGAGGTTTATACCTATGAAATTGCTGGACAGATTGACAGTGCGGAGACCAGAGAAGTGTGAAATAGCAGGAATGGCATTCAAACCGATACCCGTAATGTGAGCTGCAGATGAGGTTGGATTCAGAGACTGGACGATGCTATTAGCATACAAAATCTCCTTTGACAGATTGGCACTTGGATATCGAGCTGTGCTTCTGGCTACCGATCTACCGGTGTCAGGAGATGTTGGGTAGACAATGCTTCTCTCATTGTCATCATCACCATCCACTGGAAGTGGTTCTTGGGTTTCTAGATCTTTCACCCACTCGTCCACTCTTGCGAACGGTGATGATTCTGTTGAGAAAGCAACCCACTGGTTTTGAGGCCACATGCTTGATTCTCCAATGTGAAATCTCCCCCACCATTGGTTATCGCTATGTTCCTCAATAGAGAGTTTGACAAAAGATTCACCCGTATATGATCCAGGTGATTCCTCATTTTCTGTTTCCCTACCTTGTTTTGGTTCAAGGATGTCCGAAGAATAGCCACATTGTCTATTTGAAGCGGCAGCGACACCAGCGTTAGCAGGAAGTAATTGTGTTGATTTGCTAAACCAAGGTCTGTGTATATTCCTGTGGCTCCACAAGAACAATTTCCACCACAGTCTTCTACTTCTGGAAGGGAGAACTTGACTTGACGAATGCTTTTTCAACATCACTCTATCGGCACTGCAATGAGTCATTACTGACTTGGGGCTTTCAAAGCAGTCGATCGGGTTTTCTGATAATCCCTGCAAATCTTCGTAGGACTGAGAGGTAGAATGAGGCAATTGACGAGTCATATTCCTAAACACATCCCTTCTTTCCAGGTCAGAGCAGGAGCGCTTGAGTTTTGGAGAAGCCCAGAAGACAGCCCTGCCAACCCCAGGATCGCTGACATGTCCACTTTGGATCATATCAATACTCTTGTGACTCTCTTTATCATTCTTGTCTTCGAATTGATCATTAACTTGAGTTTCGTATAATATGGGAAAACTTATCTCGTCATCTCTTGGTTCAAATCCTCCTTTGCTGGCAATGGTTTCATTTGCGTGGCTTTGGAGATCCATGTCAGACAGTTCCCTCTTGATTGAGGTTGAATCTTCATGCTCATCCTCCCCTTCATAAGCTTCCTCAGCATCCTTCACAGGACTGTCAAGATTCATGACCCTCACATTGCACCTTGAATTTTTCTGGATCCCACGGGTTGCTGTAACATCAAAGGTTGCCGCCTTCAACTCATCAGTCTCCGATGATATTCCTGGCTGGTCTATTTTGACATGCAGAGTTTCAAGTCCCCCTTTCGAAGCTTGTCCTTTCACCTGAAAGAAGCCAGCCAAATGAAGTTAAAATCGATCGATCCTTCAGCTATGCGAACCTCACAATTCAAAATAAGATGCAAAAATTGGAAGTAGTTTTTACCTTGTTCGCATTCTTCTTCGCAGTGAAAACAGAGAAACATCTACACATGGCCATTGCAGAGGTTAAAATGATCACAAAATCTTCTCAGTTCAATCAATATTGCCGCTCACATCTCCGCTTGTTCATTTCATAGTTTAGCCACAACACAGGGATTGGCGGAGAGTTTAGACATCACATTGGACCCAACATCAAAAGTTAGCCATAATCAGTGGGAAGACGCAGCACAAGATGCAGGACCCAGAGCGAGATAAATTGAGAACCGGCGAACGAAGGACCAACGCCTGCACCGGCCGGCGAAGATGTATCTAGATTGTCGGCCAGAGTTATAGGTGCGGTAAAATCTTTTCCTCAAAGCTTCATGAATATATATGCCTCTTCCAAGAGAGACCTGCCCGGTTTAAGATTAAATGGTCAGACGGGCAGGAAAACAAAGAAACCCCATCAAACACGTCACGGGCGTCCGTTATGCAGAAATTAAAACACTTCAGATATCCCTCATCGAGACATATTTGGAAATTTCTATGGACCAACTTACATCCATCGATCAACCAAATTAATTATCTTCAGAAATCTAATAGGAATAGCAATCACTAGCTCCGATTGAAAACAAGATTTTATTCGGAGGTGGTTGCAGAGAGGTTTGAAAAACAATTAAGAAACAAACAGCAACAGCAGGCATCCATCCACCTTTGTTTTAGGAATCAAAAAGAGAAAGAAATGGACCCCAGAGACTCGTAATGGAGAGGGTGCGTGCGCAATTTCTGGCATAAACTAGGAAGATTTATGCGGTGAAAAAGAGAGGGGTGAAACTTACCTTAGGAAGCGAAAATGAAGACGGTGCAGCGAAACAGTGGTGGGCTCGAGGTGGGATCCAGGAAGAGGTTCGAGAGAAAGCTAAAATGGAGAGAGTGAGGGATTGAGGGAGGCGCGGGTGAACTAGAAAGGGCTTTAAAAGGCAGGTTATTATTTGGAGATCATCAACGACAGCAACAACCTACGCGCAATCAACACGGAAGCTTGTGCTTTTGTTTTGTCACCCCCGGCGTGCCTGCTCCTTGTGCCCTCTCGCTAATAAGCCCTCTTGTAATATTTGTAAATTGTAACCACTTGCCTTTTATTATATATACGAGTATTGTCTTGTCTTTCTTCTTTTTTTTGTTATTCATTATTTGTGCAATCATAGTTCCTCGTGTTTTCAGCTATCCCCTTTAAAAAACAAAATAAATCTATTTTCCTCTCACATCGTATTTCATTCTTTTTAATATATTTTCTCTATCCTAAATTATATAAAACATTTTTTATAAAAAAATTTAACATCTCAAAATATAAAATATTTTGATAATAATAAATTAATTTTTTTAATATTATTCTTCTCATATATTCTCTCTCTTTAATATTCTTTTATTAATAGAGTATTAAATAAAATATATTTTTAAAATTTTATATTTTTATTTTAAAAATAAGATTATAAAGTATATTTAATGAAATTATTAATATATAAGATTTTATTTAAAAATATCTTATAATTTAAGATGAAATGAATTCTTCTGATTTTATTTATAGAATAAAAAGAGAAGAAAAAAATTAATTTTATTTATAAAGCACTTGTTAATTTTTTATGGCCCTTTTTATATTTTTTATTTTATTAAATTATTTAAATAAAAATATCAATGATAAAATTTAAAAATATTTAATAAAAAAAAATTTATTAAATTTTAAAATAAAATTAATAAAATCTAATTTTTTTATTAACTTTAATTAAATATATTAAAAATAATTTACAAATAGAACAGTACAAAACTAAAGAGGATGAATGGCATGGATCCAGTTCCTTTCATACACTGATGATGTTGATGGTACTGGGTGTCAGGTTTCAACGGAGTAATAAACAACGGTCAATTGATTTTAAAATTAAATAAAAAAAATTGTTAAAAATTACGTCAAAATCTGATTCGCTGATTCCAGAAAACAATGTTAGTACCTGATGCGCAATTTGGGTGTCGTTTGTCAGGCCACTCTCGCCCCTTGGCCTTTATTTTTTTGTTTATATTATCTCTTATCATTTTCTCATTTCCGACTAGGATGCTCTTCACATCATCATTCTCCCACCGCCTCCGTCACCTTCATGTTAAATCATTTGTTTATTCTTGACCACCAATAAAAAGCACTCCTTTTTACTAATTTTTTTAGCTTGTGGTAGGCGTTTTTCAGTCCCGTTTTTTTTATTTTTCATTACAAGACCAAATTGGGGGGTGGGGGGAATTTCATGTGAGGATTGAGGATGTAACATACTCCTTCGATTTTGTTAACTCTATTAATATTAATATAATAAAAGTATAAAAAATAAAAATAAGTAAAATTTTAAACATAACTGTTAAATAAAAACTAAAAAATAAACTAATTATATAATATTATTTTTTATTTCCCTCTTACTTTTTAATGATAATTTAAAAATTTTAATTTGAAACAAAACAATTCTATCAACTAATGACTTCTAAAGTGAATCAAATTATACTTTTAAAAAGTGACTAATGTGTAAGAAGAGGAGTAATTTTTAGTGGATTCCAAAATTTTGAAATTTTAGTTCAATCTAGGAAGGTAAAAAATAAAAATAATTTAAACTATGAAAAGATCAGAGTACCCTTTACTTGTTATATAAAATCATTAGTTATTAATTTTTTTGTTTCACTTGTTAATTTATCAATATCACTTATAAATTACATTCGTTTGTCAAACAAACAGTAATATTAATTGTTAATTTGTTAATTTTTCTTATTAATTTATTAACATTAATTGTAAATGACAAGTGTAATTTACAACTAATGTTAATAAATTAATAAATAAAGTTAAAAATTTAATAATTGATATTGTTGCTTGTTATTGAACAATTAATGTCAAATCTTACATGATCATTAACATGTCAACTCATACAATTTGTAACTTCTATAAGTAAATTAAGAAGTCACGTAATAAAATTAACAACTAATAATTTTTGCATAACAAGTGGAGGATGTTTTTGTCTTTTCACAATTAGAACTATTTTCACTTTGAAATTTCATAATTTTTTGGAACACACTGATAATTATGTCATATTCCCGATCTTTGTTTGAAATTCTCCCAAAAAAAAAACTTGTTTGATTATGTTAATTTGAATATAATTTTAGAATTAAAAGGGTTGGTAGCAGTGGCCACTAATGTTTAATGATTATAGTCTATGATAGTGTTTGCCCATAATTAAAGGCAATTTACAATAATTAAATGAGTACAATGTTATACGATGAATGCAAAAATAAATACAATATTTTCATTTTTTGTTTTTAAAGGAACAAAAGCAGTTTTGAAAACATTTAAGTCAAGAACACTTATCTAAATAATTTATTTGTTTTTAAGCATAAATAAAATTTAAAAGCATAAATTAAACATATCTTAAATCATTTATGCCCCGTTAATTGGTATGATGGAAATGGAAATAGATAGAGATATAGATATGTATATGAAAATGGAGATGGAATTTAAAAATATGTCTGATAAGTTCATGAAATTATGATATTATTTTTACTTCAAATGTAAATGATAGCACCACCTATATCATGAAATTTGTGAGAGGAGGAGTTGTGGCACATGCATGATAAGTGGTGATGCATTTCTTTTTTTGTTATACTAAAATGTTAGTTTCAACTCAAATGCCAATATTTTGATTATATATTGATATTCCATGCTTTCATACATAGTTGTACTTTGATTTTAATTTATGAAGGTTATAATTGGGTGGTTTTAAAGATATAAAAACTTGGGATTATATTTTTATCATTTTTTTGATAATTTGAAAACTACAATGACTTTCTAATAAAATGATAATTCATTTGGGTTAGTCTTATAATCATCTTAAAGTGTTTGGTTAACTGTTGGTGTAGCAAGGGCAAACTTACATCATGTGTTACAATAAACACACTATCTACTGTGTCACATGACACAGAAACAGTATATTTCATTTACAGCCTCGTTACTTAGACTTAGTTCAACCTATAACCTTATTTAACCTCCATACGTGCCTCTAAAACCCATTTTAACCCATAATTAAGCATTCAAATTATTGATAATTTTCAATTATTCTCAAACACAATTCATTTCCTCAATTAAACATCAAATTAATCAATACCTCAATTTAAATTCTTCAATAACCCCACAAATTAATTTCCTAATAGAAACTATAATGTTACGCTATTTCGATCTGAATCATGTGTTTCGCAACCAACCCTTGCACAGAATGGGGTTATTTTGTTCAAAACCCAATGCTCAGGTGGATCCAGTCAGGCATTGACTCAGTGTAGTTTTTGGGTATCTTCTTTAACGATGTGAATGCCAAATCGATATCCTTTTTTTTTTTTGTGAACAAAAAGGGACATAACATGGAAGAATGAAGAAATGAAATTACTTTTTTATCTTGTCTTGTTCAATCAGGATATCATTGAAGCTAACAAAATGATTATTCAAGAGTGTGGCCTAATCCAGCGAGTCGATTTACATGCTTATTCGCTTCACGGTTTTTTTTCCTGCGATACGCGGAAGGTTGAGGATAAAAGTGCTGTGTGCTCCACAATAACTTTGATGAAACATATTACTCTAATCACTGGACAGCAAGTTTCTGATCTTTCTCATTAAAGTAGTTAAATGATACTCCTTAGACCACCATATTAATTTACGTTTTTGACAAAAAGTTGGTTAACATATTAATCTTCTAAAAAATAATTTACATTTCTTACAAAAAAGTTAGTTAACATATTGAATTTTTAAAATTTTTTTATATCTTCTCAATCATACCCTCAAATGTAATAAATATAATATTTAATTTATTTAAAACATCATCATTGGTTGCTTAGTAAAGTAAGGGAGTGATGAGAAAAAAAAAATACGTATATCTAATATTTTATATTTTAAATCAAATAGAACTTCTAAAAAAACATCTTATATTATTGTCTGGATATGTGACCCACGGTATTGGCTCTGTTGATCTTCTGCTGAGGCAACCCACGACCAATGGACATTGCTCTATGACAATCTAGGTTTTAGACCCGAGCGATACACAGGAGCTTTAATCTACGTTGTTTAAAAGAAATAGAGAGGCGAGGAGAGTGAAAGTTAAATTTTACTAATTATTTTAAAAAATGATGAGTGAAAATAACTATATTTTTTTTATATTTTTATATTCCTAGTACAATATAAGAAGATTTTTAGCTAATAGAATATAGGAATATAAATAATAATTGATTTTAAAAAATATATGTATTTTTAATTAAATTTTATCTCTCAATAAAATAGTCAATTCAAAATAAAATCATCTTTTTATATTTATCCTCACTTCTTTAATTTTATTTATAAGGCATTTCTAATATATTTCATTGAAATCTAGGAAAACTTTAAAATTTATTAATTCTTTTAAAAAATTTAATAATTTCTTAATTTTATCTTTGTTAAATATACATAATTTGATAATATATTCTTTTTCTCTAACATTCAATGAAGATTAAATGAAAAAATTTATAATAAAAATTTAATAAAATGACTTATAAAGAGGATAAAAAATCTTCTCTATTTATTTTATAAATAGGACAAGAGAGAGTATTTAATAGGATATTATATTTTAAAATAAATATAAAATACTTTATTTATTATAAGTATTTTTTAAATATTAATTACATGTTAAAGCACTAAAAAAACTTTACATTTTTTAACCTTTAACCTATAAAAAATTTCATATATTTTTTAAATGGAGAAGTATAATTTAAATTTAAAAAAACATAAAATATAATTTCAATTTTAATTTATGTTATTAAAAATTGCTTTTTTAAAAAAAATTAATTTATGAAAAATAAAAAAAGTCATGGGATGGCATTGCAATATCCGACGCAAATTTTAAAGAAAGGGGATTATTTAATGAGCCACTCGTAGTTAGACGGCGTGGATTCCTGCACGTGCGTTCCATTCAGGCAAGCTTATGAATGGATGACATTCAATTTGATTGACGTTACATTCTTAAGAGGCAGCTTTGGGTGGGGCAA